ACAATAATACTTTCATTACATTTTTAGTAAATGTATTAATTTTTATATTAATTGATACTAATTAATACTAATTATATTAACTTTTATTAATGAAATATTTTTTTTAAAATTAAAACTGAAAAAAATGACAAAATAATCATTTTTATATCATATAAGGGCAGAAAGGACAATTATACAGTAAAAAATTATTTTATAGCTTATTAACTAAACACTACTCTACTGCTTAAATCTAATCTCAAAACTAACTGCTTATGTTCACAGTTATAAGCCATAATCTATTAAGGTATAATCTGTAATCACACATTTCTACCAAACAGAATATAACACAGACTTTCAAATTAAAATAAATTATAATCAAAGCTGCAACAAACAGCCCCCACTAAATTGCGCTTGTTCGCTTCTCACTCACAGAAACAGCAGAAAAAGTAAGCTGGTGTTTGAGGGTTCAAAGATGAAAAATCAGATTGCTCAGTTGGTGTGCTTGGCCATTGTCATCTTAGAAGGATCCACATAGCACTTTGTGTAACCTCCACTGAATTATGTCCCTCTTGTATATCTTCACGCTTTTAAACAAAATGGCAATGCCTCGTTAAAATTCAAAACCGCAACATACGCCTCTGCCAAATCACGATTAGCATTACCAAGTTCCCTACGATCTTTCTCCCAAGTCATTTCTTTTATCTCCAAACATTTCCTAAGATTACCAGAGCCTCCTCTCTCCTTCAATCTAAAACAAGCAGAACCCAACAATAACAACGTCGTGGGAAGAGGTAAAGAAAAGTTATCATCATCTCAATTAGCAAAAGAGTCTTTTCAGGGTCCTCACTGTCTTGGTCAAGTTGAGGCCTTTCAGCCAAGCCAATGCTCTCTCTCTCTCTCTCTCTCTCTCTCTCTCTCATCAAAACTAGCCTCCATGTCTCTAAATGCTTTGATCATGTCTCCGGAAGTCTTTGCAGACACAAAATCTTCCTCTAGTTGTGATTTCCCTTTAATCTTTATGTGTCTTGAGGACATTTGAGGAAATAGTGGTTTTGAGATTACGAGATGGGTGTGTCAGAAATTGATGGGTTTTTGATCTTTGGTAAGAGCGAAGCATTGGTTTTGCCACGGGTTTTGGTTCTGTTAATTGGTGGCAGTGGGTAGGGAGGAGATAGAAAGAGAGTTGGGGGTGTGTGGGCGAGACGTGAGAGAGAAGTTTGGACGAAGCTCTTCTCATGGCGGATCAGTGGTGTCTGGCTTTCTAGGGTTTCACAATGTCGGTGGTTAAACCCTTGGACAAACGCTTCTCTCTGCTCTGTTGCGGTGTGGTGTGGGAAGTAATTTGATTAGAGTACTCCCACTCACTTTATTTTATCTAAATTTTTTATTTTAACTCTTCATTTAAACTAGCTTAAGCCTGTGTTTGGCAAGGGTTTTTTCAAGCTTTTTTGGTTATTTTAGCCACAAAAAACAAAATAGGCTATTTTAGCCATAACAAACAAAACATCACATCCAACCTATAATCATTACTTTCTTCTCTCACAAAAAAAGTCAAAAAAGTCAAAAAGCCAAAAAACCCTTCCCAAACCAAGCTTTTTAGCCCAGGCTAAAATAGCCAAAAAAGCTAAAAAGCCAAAAAGCCAACCCACTTCCCAAACGGAGGCTAACTAATTTTTAAAACAACAAATTTTATACATTCTACATTTTTCGTGAAATGTCACATTTGCACTTAGAGTTGACATAGTTGTCAATGCAGCATTTGTGATAACATTTTTTTAACATGTATTAAAAAAATGGCAAATTATCTATATCTCTCTTAAGATTTAATGAAATTACAGATTTTTCTTTGAAATTTTAAAAATTACATCTCGTCCCATTGTAATTAACGTCGTTAATAGATATCATAAATTGATTAAAATGCCCTTTTGATAAATAAGGACAAATTACCTACAGTCTCTTGAGGTTTAGCTAAATTACAGATTTTCTACTGAGATTTAGCTAAATTATAGATTTCTTTTGAGATTTAGCTAAATTATCAATTTTAAATAAGTTATGAAATGTAAAATTAAAATGGAAAAACAATTATCATACTACAAAAAATTAAAGTTTTAAAGACTAAAATTTATAGACAATTATTTTTAGAGGATCAAATATTTTTATTGCAAAAAATGTCATTATATTTTTAGCAACAAAAATTAAACATTAGTAATTAATTATTATCTTTTTGGTATCAATTTTTTTGTCTCAAAAAATAAACTATTTTGAAACCAAATTATTTTGTCCCTAAAAGCCTTTATTATTGACATTTTTTAATTTTTATCGCTAAAACCCTTATTTTTTACTTTTGAGGGTCACCGTTTAGTGACTATTCTTACGACGATAGAAATTAGTCCCTAAATATCTTTTGCAACAAAATTTTCACTCTTAGATATCAAAAAAATTAATCTCTAAAACTCTTATATGTTGTAGTGTCAGATGGTGAAAATATCATAAAATTAACAAATAATTAAGGGTAAATTACATTGACACCCTCTGAGATTTATGTTTATTACAGTTCCCCCTCACCTTTTGGAAATTACATCCCCTCCCTGAGGTTTAAAGTTTGATTACAGATTGTTCCCTCAGTTTAGTTGACTGTTAAGTCAACTAACAAATTTTCTTGATGTCAGCAATTTAATTTTTTTAAATACTAATTTTTTCCTCATTGGGTAAATTACATTGACACCCCTCACATTTTAGAAATTACAATCTCCTCCCCAAAATTTAAAGTAGCATTACCAATTGCCTCCTCGGTTAGTATTAGTTGAAAAAAAAATTCATTGAAAAAAAAAATTAATTGGAAAAAAATAATTTGAAAAAAAATTTTGTTAGTCAAATTTTTAAATTTATGTTTAAAAACCAACGTAAACTCATTTTTTGAATTTACGTTTTCTTCGCAAATTTACAAATTGAGACAATCATTTATAAACCAAAAAAAATTATCAAACAAGTTTTTATGACAGTTTCTTAAATTTTGTAAGTATAAATTAAAAACTGAAAACGAAATGGTTACCAAACAGGCCTCAGATGGTAAAAATGTCGTAAAATCAATAAATAATTAAATAAGTTACCAACGTAAGAAATGGCTTATCAAAAGATTTTTAGGCTATGTATGGTTTGATTTTTAAATTTTTTTTAAAAAATTTAAAAATTAATTTGGTTAAGAAATAAAAAATAAAAAATAATAATTATTTAAGGGTAAAAAATAATTCTCATTTACAAATTAAATATATTTTTTCATATTTATTTTTATTAAATTAGTTTTTTTTTTTTAAATGTCAGGGGAAAATCCGTATTAAATTGAAACCTCAAGGGGTGTCAATGTAATTTACCCGTTAAAGTATATGTAAAGGTTAAGGGTAAATATGTCATTTTAACTTAAAAGTTAACACCGTCAAATAATTACACTGACAATGGGGGTCAGTGTAATTTTTTAAATGTATGGAGAAAACTGTAATAAACATAAACCTCAAGGGGTGTCAGTGTAATTTACCCAATAATTAAATAAGTTAAAAACACAAAAAATGGCTTGTCAAAAAATTCTTAGAATATGTTTGGTTTGATTTTTAGAAATTTATTTTTAAATTTTTCTTTAAAAAAATTTAAAATTAATTTGGTAAAGAAATAAAAAAATAATTATTATTTTTATATAATTGTATCTTTTGAGTGGTTAGAAATAATTTTTACAAATTAAATATATTTTTTCATATTTATTTTTATTAAATTAGTTTTTTTTTTTTTTAATTCTGAAATTGTTTTGTAAACAACAAATCAAACATGATTCCAAAAACTTTTTTTTTTTTTTTCATCTAACGTAATTCTTTTGATGATGTCAGCTAACCATTCTTAACATTTAATTAACGGTAGGAGTTAAATTGTTATGTGAATATAAATCTCGAGAGTGGGATGTAATTTCTGAAATCTCAGGATAGAATCTGTAATTTAGCTAAACCTCAAGCGAGGTGTAAGTAATTTGCCCTTGAAAAAAATATTTAATATTTTTTAACATATTTAAAAATATATATTATTAAATATTGTGTATAAAAACTAATATGTACACAACTTTGTATGCTTTGAATAGGTTTTTAAAAGATTGAGCCTGCAAATTATAAAATGAACTCTAAATAAAAGAAACTAGTTTAATTTGAGAAACTAGTTTAATAATTCTAATAAATGACCACACATCTTCAATAAATAAATAAATTTCAGATAAAATCTTTGTTTAATTATGGAATTTTAACTACAAATTAACTTTATTCTGCACCAAACTTTCTAAATTTTCATATCGCTTATGATTGAAGCCAAAACAAAATAAAACAAAATCAATCATAAGATGAGTTCTGGTGGTATGGAGTGAAGGAGTTGTGGAAAGAGAAAAATAAAGGTTGAAGAGAGGTTTCGAAATAGGGTTTTACAGGTAGGGATGTGGGGAGTTGAAGAGGGAAGGAGGGGAGAGAAATGGCTGTGTTGACCATGGAACAAGAGAAAAATAGATTGAGAAGGATACATACCTTGATGAGAGTTTCGCGGGAAAAGACTTCACATATGATTTGAAGAGCTTCTTGTGCTCTTTAATGCTGTGTTTGGTTGAGAGATTTGAGGAGAAATTTAGAAAGAAAAATAAAAAAAATAGGTAAAATGTGAAAAAAAATATACCTACATTTCACATAATTTTACACACCTTTTCCTTTTTCTTTTCCAAAAAATAATGATAAAATACCCAACCTTTTGGCCAGCCTGTTAGAGGGTCCAAAATAAATTAATGTCAATTAAAATAGCCAACAAACCTATTTTAACTAGTCCTTTGTAGATGCTCTTAGCTCTAAAACATTTAAACTACAAGGTAGAGATTCTAAATTCTTGGTATACAGATTTTTTTTTTTTTTTTCAATTATATGATTTGTGTACATTTTGAAGTAGGCCATAATTATTACCAAGCAGTCCATTATAGAATAAAAACCAAGCTACATATACTATATATATATAGAATAAAACATCTTCATTTGGATGAAACTGAAATTCATGATAAAAATCAAATGGCTTGTTTCTTGGTTCTGTCTTTACACTTTCAGAAGGCTAGGTGATTCTAGGGTTCCAAATCAAATTGAGGCCTGCTCACAATCCAACCCCATGATGATGAATTATATACAACAAAGAATATATAAGCTTCCTTCTTATGAGAAATATCATGGTCTGGACCCGGGAAACCCATACACATTATGAATATCCAAAAAAACACAGATGCAACTTTGATCACACAAAGCTTGTGGGATCAAAATTCACAGAGGGGCTTTCCGGCCGTCCACTGTTGTAAATGTCATCGAAAGGAAGATTGAATTCTCCTCCCTCCAAGTTGTCCACACCATAGCTCCGAGACAACCTGTGAAAGCTTTTCCAGTCAAATTGTTGTTCTTCCTCCTCTAAGCTTCTATCCGAGAAATTATCATGATAATTATTCGAAGCATTTTGGTTGAAATTTGGAGGCTCGAGAAAACTTGTTTGGGCGTCTAAGCCATGTGGGCGACTCCTAGCCCACCAATGGCTCTTAGTAGGGTGTGCTGTGGTACTTGAGTCATGGTCATGATGATGTAGTACGCTTTCACGAAAGAGTGAAGCCGATGTAGAAGCTTCTAGATGACTCTGTGATCGATCCTCGAAAAGGTTGCTGCAGTTTTCTTCATGCGTCGCTTCATTTCGTGGCAAGTGTGGTGGTGTCCAAAAATCTTTTGAGCCCTCCTCGGCAACTTCAAAAGGTCCTCGGTCCACATCTCTTGAATTATCAGTTGCATGATGAGGTCGAGAGGTGTAATACCAATCAAGAATATATGGGTAGTTCTTTTGATCAGCATCGATCATCCATGGAGAAACTAATTGGTAGCCAGTTCCTGGAATGTTCTGGGGCATTTCTCTCGACAGGAAACTGTTTCTGTCCCCTAGGCCTCTCCAACTTGTGGTCCATTGCTGCTGCATTCTAGGAGGTGCATACGCCGGTCTTGTTCCCTGACCATGTAACATTTGGTCCCTGAATTTTTTAAGAGTCGAAAGGAATTGCTTTCCCTCAGCGTTCGGTTCCCATGTAGGATAGCTACTTTGAAAGCTGTCAGCAAAGTAAAAAGATTCAACATGAGCATTGCCGGTTTGCATACAAGTCAATATTAACATTAAAAAAAAACCTGTAATATTTCTCACAAATGATACCTCAAGAATGATTTCTCCATTTTCCCCTGGGAACTCCTCTGAATGCGTGGCGAATTGTATGGTGAACCATAGTTGGTATTTCCATGATTTTGGAAGTCAAAGACACTAAAGCTGCAAGAATAAAGTGTCAAATAATGACAAAGTTACATTCTGCCCGAGCAATACCAACACATACAAAGTAAAAAATTGAGAGGGAGAAAAAAAAGAATGGTCAAATACTAACCTGCATACGTGACCAACACCTTCAACATTTACTGTGAAATCTGCAATGAACTGTAGAATGTCATCCACTCGCTGCAACATTGACAGAGCTTCTCAGTTCAAAGACGAGAATCAATGATGTAGTAGTAAAATGAGATAAAGATATAGTGAATAATAACCTCTGGGACAACGAATAAGAGCAAGTAGGGAGTGAGAAAGATTGACGCCATCTCCTCTAGTAGCATCATTCCAGTGTACTGCAACCAGTGGACTAAAAAATGTAAGCACTAAGATCATTATTGTAGAATATTGGTAATGGTATTGACCAAGGAGACTTAGGAAGGTAACTCTTAGATTTCTCATTACGAAAGTCACAATGTTATAAAAACACATAAAAAGAGGGGAGAGCGAGCGGGACAAGGTGGATTTTGGGAGATGTGTGAGGGGCTGGGGTTGAGACAAACACTAATTACACTCAATAATAAATTCCTCACGGGCCGGCACCAAGTGTGCCAATGGGGAAACTATAACAGGTTTCCATGACACGAAATTGCAACAATGACCGAGTACCGTACTATTCTAACTAGTTTCCATCTCTGGAAAGATCTTGAAGATTTTAATTAACATATAAAACTACACCACTGATTTGGGTATGGACCTGGTTGTTTGATAAATAAAATATTCCAGTAGCCTAGACTACCATTATCATGTATGAATTCAATGTACGAAACAATATGGCATGTTGAATGCAAGCAAGAGCTCTGAAGTGATATGAGAAAGTGCAGAACTCTTCTCTTTCTTTCCTTCTCATCTTCACTTGTCCATTCCATTTCTTTGCTTTGCTTTTCTTCTTCTTCTTCTTCTTCTTCTTCTTCTTCATTCTTTTTTTATTATTCTCATTTTTTAATTAATGGTGTGGAAGTGAGGAGTTCGAAATACTAAGAAATAATAGGAGGAAAAAGAAAGCGAAGAAGAAAAGCAAAGTAAGGTTCAAATAAACTAGCTGGTCCTATTGAACATGCAAGTTGGCCAATAAATCTACCCTATTTTGATGGAGGATTATCTGATGCATGCACCAAACCACATAGGCGCCAAAAAGTAAGATTATTGCTTGTAAACTCCAGCCACTTCCAGTTTAGCAAGTCATAAGAGCAAACCGCTCAGAAGATTCACCTGGAATAGAGTTGCAAACTCCATGCAGACAATCTCCGTATTTTCTTTCCCACGCCATCTCTTTGGCATATAGTGTGTATGCTGGACTACCAGAGACATCGCACCTTGTGGGTCAAGGACCAGAAGCTCATCTGTCACTGCAGCCCGGCTAATAGCTGTTATAGCTCCAAAAACAGCAGCGTACCAGAACAAGTTGCGACCAAAGATCTGCAAGTTTTGAAACAAAATCCCATGAAAAATGGGGAAATCCCTAGCTATCTGCACTAGTAAAAATCAATATGCAAATGGTCCAAAATACTCCTTCACGGTGATATAAGTGCAGATACATTACATGGCCTTCCAGTAGAGATTCTTCCAGGAATGCAATGATGATCAGAATAGCAGCAAAGCCTCCAGAAACAAAAGAGATGAACTTTGCAATGATTGTTATAATAGGAGAGGGGAATTGCTTTAGATAATCAGAAGCATGTAGTACACTGCCATTGATCCGGTGCTTGAAAAAATGGTCAACCTGAAACACAAAGACAATGGAATGTAAGAGGTTGCGTTGGTATGTGAAATTGTGTTGTAGAACCAATGCAAAGAGAAGAAAAAACTACCTGATAAAATGGAAACCACCTCAAAGAATCTTATAAAAAATACCTAAATTATGAATATAAACTGGTAATGATCCTGCTAACAAGAGAACATACCCACAAAGGGAAGAAACATCGTGACATTATGATAAATAAAAAAAAAGTAGAGTAGCGATGGGAACAATTGAAATGTAGAAATTAGTGTATCCTTTTGAGAAATAATGAATCCTTTCTATGACTGATAGAATATCTGAACATTGGTGTATGGATTTAACGAGGGTACCCTTACTTCTGATAATAATTCAATTACATCCATTAACTTCTTGTTCATCCCAATGAGATTACCATCCAATGGGAGAAGCATACTTATGGATGAAGCAGCCAAAGGCAGGAGCTATTGCCAAAGCAACCAGTGCTTTGACAAGTTGTACAGTACAATTAATAAACGCATTGATTGTTTTGGCAAAAGCCATGGCCTAAACCAAAACTTTAACCAGGAACCTCATGAATAGAGGGTCATATATGTTCATCGGTATTAATTATTATTATTTTTTTTATTTTTTTTGGATAAATATGTTCATTGGTATTAATTATGCTTGCAGCAGAGATCATTAACTTGAAAACACAAATTAATTTAAGCAGCTTCTTCTGAATCCTTTCTATGACTGATAGAATATCTGAACATTGGTGTATGGATTTAACGAGGGTACCCTTCTGAGAATAATTCAATTACATCCATTAATTTCTTGTTCATCCCAATGAGATTAACATCCAAGGAGATAAGTACTTTATGGATGAAGCAGCCAAAGGCAGGAGCTATTGCCAAAGCAACCAGTGCTTTGACAAGTTGTACAGTACAATTAATAAATGCACTGATTGTTTTGGCAAAAGCCATGGCCTAAACCAAAACTTTAACCAGGAACCTCATGAATAGATGGTCATATATGTTCATCGGTATTAATTATTTATTTATTTTTATTTTTTTTGATAAATATGTTCATCGGTATTAATTATGCTTGCAGCAGAGATCATTAACTTGAAAACACAAACTAATTTAAGCAGCTTCTTTTGTTTTAAAAATCATAGCAAAGCCCTGGTTCATGAGTTCATTTGGCACATATAATATAAGCTCATATGTGTTTAGGTCAATTAAAGACGAGCTGTGCAGTGCAAGATACATTTTAACAATCATAAGTTCTTTTTGAACAGAACTTGCAAACAATTTGAGCTTGAATATTCCATCAACAATTACTTCCAAGCACAGAAACAAATTCTGACAACAGATTGGACACAAGTGACAGACGCTGATCTATTCTACATAGCAGGGGTGCGGTGGGAGTATTGAAAAGTGAAAAAAAAACAAAAAAAACAAAAAAAACAAAAAAAAAAAGAAAAGAAGAAGAAGAAGAAGAAGAAGAAGAAGAAAAAAAAAGAAAAGAAAGAAAGAAAAAAAGAGTTAAAAGAGATGGAAAAGGAAGTAGAACACAAAATTGGCTACTCTTAGCAACACAGACTACTAAAAAATCAAGGGAAAACAAAGATACCTCATTAAATTCTCTAAACATCCACTTAGAGAGATTTGACCATCTTCGAGATGATGCTGTGCTCGGCTGATTATAGAACTGTTCAGCATGCCTCAGAAAGAGATATACCAGCATGAATATGACAAGAAAGGGGGAAAGAAGAAGCATTGCAAGCCCAACTATCATAAGCCTCTTCTTTAATGTTTTAGGATCGGAAACAAAGTCCCTCCGAACACAAAAGTTTCTGCCAAAAAGGTATATCTAGATTAGAAAAGGATTGTCAATAGATTTAGAATCAGTAGTAGAATGCGCCTTTGAACCCCATGAAGTGAATTATACAATAGTTCAAAGAAATTTCATTAAAATTGAAAAATAAATAATAGATGATCAACATTGCTTTGGGCAGGCAACAAAAGGAGACCGCAACCACACTCAAGAAGATATCTACCCCACTCCCCATGCCCCCAAAAAAGAGGGGAAAAAAACTTTTTCGTTCTATTTAGGGTTGGCTATATGAAATCCTTTTTGCTATGATTCTGGTCTTGCAAGAGTTTCTTCTTGTAAAGGACTTCTGCATTGGACAGTAAGAGTCTAAAATTCATGCATATCATCATCTTAATAAAAAAAAGGGTGACCTAGTGCACAAACCTCCCACTAAAGCAAGGTTTGGGGATGTCACGCAGCCTCCCATTATCATTTTGGTAAAAGAATTTATAATAATTATCAATCTTCCTCTTTGTGGACCTAGGACCCACAAGTTAAAAAAAAAAAAAACTGCAAAAAGAGAGAACCCATAACATTTCCCTGGAAATATACCCCATTATGAATAGCAAGGATACACACAGAATACAAAAGAACACAATTCTCCACTCTAAAATTAAAATTAATAAGACATGTTCAAACTTTCAAACTGCCCCAAAATTGATACCAATAGACATCTAGATGCATCTGTTACATGTAGTGGGCAAAAATATATCACATATGGTGGCTCACTATAATGCACACAAGGCTATAATTGTCCTCAAGGAAAATGCAACACACCTGTCAAACATACTTTGCAGTATGCACCAATTTAAGGTCCATTCGAGGGTCTTTGTTAGTATTAAGCGATATCGCGTACCATTTGGGCCAAATTTGACTGATGGGCTAGAACCTGGAACCCATTGAGAGATTGGAAAAGCAAGCACCCCTTTGTTCAGCATTCCAATCAAGTAATTCTCCTTTCGCATTAATCGCATCACCACATCGTGAGCAGAAAGATCCTTGACTACACATAGTTGCTGGGTACTTTGTAACCGAACAACCTTTTCAAGAATGGACGCCCATGGCATGGTCTGTATTTCATTATCCGTTACGCATAGACTGCAGAAACATGATAAACATGCTTATTGCATTACAAAATGATGGAATTCTTTGCTCTGAAAAAATAAGGAGAAATAAATATTTGCTTTCAGCATAATAATTTCCATTGCTCAGATGTACCTGTTGTAGTAAAATTGACGGATTTTTAAAGTGTCCTTCAGCTGTGCAAAGAACCTTAAAAAACAGAATGCCCAATAGACAGAAAATATTCCCAAATACCCAACAATAATAGCTTTCGAAAGTGTAAAAGGGATTAATGGATGCGGATGAAGAGCTTCCTTAGCCAGATCACACGGCTTAATTCCAGATTCAACTGCATCCATCCCACATTTTGCATTGCGAAGGCCATTCCAATCAACATATAATAAGAAAAATCCTGAGAAACATATGGTGAAAACTAGGCTTAAGAGCTCAACTATCCACTTTATAATAATGCACCAAAGCCCTTTCTCGCAATAGTAGCTGTAAAGCCTCTCAAAAAACAGGTCCAAATCAGCAATTGGCTCTGCATTCAAGCCCTCGCCATTAAGAAGCCCAGAAGGACTTTCACTACCAGGACTGGGTGCTCTTTGGTAATCAGATAATTCAATTTCATGATGCACATCATCAAGAAATCCAGTTGTTAAGGATGATTCACCACGCCTTTTCCATTTAAATATGTTAAACGCTTTAGCACCCTTTGCCCCACTGAACATTATTTACAGAAACTGACAGCAGGAGAAATACAGCCAGTCCATTAACCAACGTGCATGAATGGTTAAAACACAGTGCTGTAAGAAAGAAGAAAATTGGGTTATTCCCTCTATACTTCACAATTTGTCTCAATGAAATAATTCAATGAAGACCAGCAGAGTAACAGTAATTTATAAAGAATAAAATTACAGTAAATCTACGCAGATGAAGACTACCTTTACTTCAGCTTTGTCAGATCAAAACAAAATTTGAGAACTTACCAACACAAACAATAAGGGCTCGTTTGGTTTGATTTTCTGAAAAAATTTTGGGAAATTTTCTCTACAAATAAGTTTTCAAAAATAATCAAACCAAACAAATTTTCTCAAAAAAATTTCTCAAAACTTGTAAACCAAACAAGTTTTCCAAACAAATCTCTCTCTCACACATATCAAATCAATCACTTTTTCCAAAACTCTATCTCAAAATAATTTTCCAAAACATCTTTTAAAAAAAACCAAACCAAACATGTTTTCGTACTTTTTATCTCTAAAACACATCTCTCAAACACAAACCAAACATACCCTAACACTCTTCCAATATGTAAATTATATACACACATATAACATACATTTTATAGCATAACTTAAAACTGAAACATAAAAACTCAAGAACCCCGTATTTCTGGTGTAGAATCTCAACTACAATAAGATACATCATACATATTACATATATATTTTCTTTCTATACATATTGCATTTTAAGAGATATCCACCAATTTGTAAATAGCACCAACTAATTTAACTCAAGCATAAACCTATTCAAAGAACCAAATCACATTTGTCGTCACAATTATTCTTCTTTTTTCTTGCAAATAAGAACATAGTAAATCGCATGTGTGTTTCATTACGTTGCTGATACCAGCAAGGCACTGATTGTAATCATGCTCAAGCGATGACGTATGCTTTGTTCTTCAACCGTCAATAATATAATTTTTTCCTGGATATTAAACCACATTAAATGGCTCTCTGTTGGTTTCAAATTAAAATTTCAGTAGGAATTCATAAGTAATTTGCAGCAGAGATTAATTTTATTTTTATTTTTTTCATTTAAAAAACACAAGTAAATTTGCAGCAGAACCTTCTCTTCAAATTATGCAATCAATCGGTCATGCAGAAATGATATTGCTGAATGCACATGGAAATGAGGAAGTTGGCTACAATCTTCAAGAATGCCTGGTAAGTAGCTTTCTATTGCTTTTTCTTTTTCTTTTATAGAAGCAGCGGCAAAGTTAGATTTTGGTCAGGGGTACAACATTAATGGTAAAGGAATACGTCTAGGGATGGTGTCCCGCAACCTTACTATATAAGTATGGCCATAAATCACTTACGTTCTGTTTGGGAACCTAGCAGAGAGAAGAAAATAAATGATTACATAAGTTAGGAGAGAAAAGATTGTGTTTTTCCCCCTCTTGTTTTGGGTACGTAGGAGAGAAAAGAGAATGATTTCTCTCCTATCTTGTTTGATTAAACTACATAAAAGAAAAGAAAAGAAAAGAAAAGAAATCATTTCATGTTATTATACCAAAAACAACCTTTCATAGGTGTCAGTTTTTTTTAGGGTTTTTTTGGTATTTCTTCAATATAAAAAATGGGCAGTTTTGGTATTATGAACAAAATAGTAATTTGTTGATTTCGCTTCTCTTCTAATCTCTCCACTTTTGGAGAGATTCAAAATGAGGGTTATAAGAGAAATAGGTTTCTCTCTATTTCCTCCCATTTCACCTCATTTCTCTCCTCTTTACTAATCCAAACAGGTGATATGAACAAAGAGAAATACTTTTCCTTCCAAATCACCCAATCCAAACGAGCTGTTATACACTGCCTTGAAGCAAGAGCATATACTTAATTCTTAATGAACTTACTTATCTTGTGTTAAATTTGGCAGCAGAGATAGTAAGATCGTAATGGAGATTTTACTACCAAGATTTTGCATATTTCTTCTCAAATGCAGTGCAAACTAATGGTTTCAAGTATAAGACCCTAGCATATATTTTATTCTTAAACCAGCAAATATACATGTACATACATATTCACAGTACTCCAATTGTGATGAACTGGATCAGTGCATCTCCCTTTAATAGTTGCAGGCACAAATTTGCATATGAAGATTTGAACAGTGTTTTCTAAATGTTCTGTTTATACAAAATATGCAGAAACTAACAATCAAATAATACATCAAATTCCACAAATTTAGCAAATGCAAAACTAAACCCAAACCCAAAAAAAAAAAAAAATGCTGAATAGAAATAGATAATTAGAATGCAGCTGAAAGTAATCTTACCAACCAGTTGAACCAAATAATGTGCTGACAGTTCAGATTCAGATATTACAGCTTTGTTGCACAAAACCTCCAATGCACCCAGACCCTCTGTGAACAAAAACATAAGTGAACCAAACTCAGAACCCACAACATTGAAAACCTAAAACATGAAAACAAAAACAAAAAAAAAAAAGAAAACAAAGCCCTTCCATTACAGTGAAAGCAATTAAAGATTGCATATTTCCCATAATAAGAGAACATCCACATACTAAAGACACTACAAACAATCATAGTACAATATTATTTCCCTGAATATTTTAGGAACATAAACAGCTAAATTAACAGCTAGTTTCGTCGACTACAAGTCAACCTAAATACCCATATCTAAAGAAACTAACAACACATTAATGAAACTCCAATAAAGCGGTGCAAAAGATAAATTAATACAAAGTAACAATAATCAGTATAATTTTTTGGGCATCAAAGGAGGGTTTTAACCCACCAAAAGCGACGGTCGATTGAGCGAGGGAAGGCGGAGAGAGTTGAAATTGGAGGGTTTGGAGAAACCAAGTAGATGATTGTGGGCAAAGAAGCGCACAAGATCAGACAGAATTCGAAGATGAGAGAGAACAAAGAGGGTCGAAGCTTGATATATACCAGAGTCGACGAAAAAAAAAAAAAGCAAGAGAGAAGAGAAAGAGAGGTTGGATTACGTGGAAGAAAAAAGGATTTTTGCGGTAAAAATTTACTAGCATATCCCTTGTGCTATGCACGGATTGTGTTTATAATTATCTATATATGTGAATTGTAATTTTTAAATATTTTTTTTAAATGTCTTCTTTTTTTTATTTTTTATATTATATTAAAGTTTAATATTTTGATAATAATCATATGCGTTGGACTTTTCAAGAATTTTTTTTTATCCTTGTTCTTAATACATTAAAGTGTTATTATGAGGGATAATAATCATATGTGTTGAAACTTTTCAAGGAATTCATATGTTTTGGATTTTAAAGAATTTTTTTTATACTTTTTCTTAATGCATTAAAGTGTTATTATGAGGGTAAGACTTGGAAGTTGGGACAAGTTAATAAATATTAAGATTTTTTTTTTAAAATCAAAAAATCAGGAAATATAAAAAACTAACAACACATTAATGAAACCCCAATAAAGCGATGCAAAAGATAAATTAATACAAAGTAACAATAATTAGTATAATTTTTTGGGCATCAAATGAGGGTTTTAACCCACCAAAAGCGATGGTCGATTGAGCGAGGGAAGGCGGAGAGAGCTGAAATTGAGGGGTTTGGAGAAACCCATTAGATGATTGTGAGCAAAGAAGCGCACAAGATCAGACAGAATTCGAAGATGAGAGAGAACAAAGAGGTTCAAAGCTTGATATACACCAGAGTCGACAAAAAAAAAAAAAAAAAAAGGGGGAAGAGAGAAGAGAAAGAGAGGTTGGATTACGTGGAAGAAAAAAGGATTTTTGCGGTAAAAATTTACTAGCATATCCCGTGTGCTATGCACGGATTGTGTTTATAATTATCTATATATGTGAATTGTAATTTTTAAATATTTTTTTTAAATGTCTTCTTTTTTTTATTTTTTATATTATATTAAAGTTTAATATTTTGATAATAATCATATGCGTTGGACTTTTCAAGATTCAAGGCACGAAAGAGTCTGGAAATCCGGAGGCAAGGCTTGCAGCCGGGACTCTGAAACTTCTGAATGAGCACAATATGCAATATCACCGAGCGCTCAATCAGTGACGTCTGAGTCTTAAGGTCGGTCAAAAATGGGGTGTCTACACCACTATCCTACTACAACCCACGTTGTAGCGTTAGTGCTGCTTGGGAATAACCTAAAATTGAAAAACACATCACGTAGCAGATTCGATCATGTAGTGTACAACGTATATGTATGTTCAATAACTTAAAGTACATTATTTACATTATCACATCATACATTTCTTATGCAAATCCACACCGCATACCTTCACATAAACACCAAAAGCAGCACGCTTAATTGACCAAACCAGTGACGATTTGAATAAATTCACTTTCATATGCTTGTTACCCTTCGCACGAACTCCCGTTCCAATGTTTGACGATGGGAAAGGACCATTTTCCTAACCGCTTGCCATTTTGATTAATTAAACCCACGCCATACACATAATTGCAAGTATCCATATTTACTGACAACATTCGTACTATGCCAACATTACATCTGGAAAACAACGCCAATCATGCAGAACACAACACAATCGTCAGGACGTTTCCACATAACACAACACACCCACCCAACCCAAACACACACTAATAGATAACTACATAACAGCCCAAATCACCTTATGTTCATACACACCAAAAAAAAAAACCCCAAACACATTGCACCCCCCAATTACGCTACACTACCATTAACCCAACCACTATCCACCCATACACTAGCCCCCAAAACACCGCACATCATTGCTATTACAGTAACGTAAATCTGTCACACACCACCTCACACAAACCATTACAGATACATGACATCTCACAACAACAAAACACAACAGAACAGCAATCTTCTCGGTCCCCAATTATGTCATGATCCTAACACCCCAACACACTATACCATACACATTACAATTAAACACCCCAACCACACTACATTATATAATAAACCCACAAATTTCAAACACCGTTGACGTAGACTAACAACGCGACACAAATTCCATGACAACACATTGTTAATAAGATATCACACACATCAAACTACTATCAAACATCAACCGGAAACAACAAAAACATAATCAGTAGTTCATACAGACAAATGAACAACTCTCCACATTAAAACATGTATAAATCATGCAGTTCACAAAATCTACCCCTACCAATGACGTGGATTAACAACGCAACACAAATTTCACTCTAAAATATTGTTAATAAGATATCTCAAACACCAAACTACTCTTAAACATCAACCGGAAACAACAAAAGCATAATTAGTGGCTGATACAGACAAATTAAAAACGTACCTGTCGCCATTTGTAACAAACACAATCACCGCTGTCGAATGGAGGTTTTTCTAGCCAGTGTACGACAACACAACAGCGGCCCAGCCTCTCCAACCCTTCGACGTAAACTTATTACCAGAAAAGGGGATTCGTATTTCCTAGGGTTTACAACGAAAACAAATTGGTACTTTACGATACCACTCTACACTGATTCAATGTTGCATATTACCAATGAATCACAAACTTGCCAACATTACACCATTAACATCGGAAATTACAATCATTTCCATCTACGACTCTTCCATTCAAATGGGTTGGATGGAAAGCAACAAAAATTACATTAATGTTTTTGGGCATAGAAGTAAATTCCACATTGGGAAAACCCACATGTACCCTTACTATAAGCTGCCACATGCGGGGTCACACATATAATTTGGTCATTTACAGTGGATTGGGACCTATTAGTTTACAAGATATAAAATATGACCAACTAGATCAAAAGATGGGGATTTGAGATTTATTGGTGCATCCCCCAAGAAATAAAGTCAGCAATCAATTCTTAAAATTAAGGATAAATTACATCAAAAGTCGTTATATTTTACTCTATATTATTTTGTTCTCTACATTTTTAATTGACTCAATTTTGACTCTTAATTTTGAATTTTATATCAAGTTGGTTTAATGATAATATCGTTGGTGTTTTTCAAGAAAATTTATCACAAAATTAGTTGAAGTTAACTTGGGTCACATCACTTTTTATTTGAGTCACATATGTAGACACCCTATTTTGACCGACTTTAAGACTCAGACGTCATCGACTGAGCGCTCGATGATGGTACATGTTGTGCTCGTTTAGAGGTTTCGGAGTTTCGGCTGAGAGCTTTGCCTCTGGGTCTCTGAACTCTTTTGTGCTTCGGCCCAGTCTGAGGACCGAACTCTGTTTCTCTTCCAAGAGAGAGGGAGAGGTCTTGTAGACCATCTCTTTGTGGTCGCAGACCACTTTTCGCGGTCGTAGACTGCTTTTCTCGATTGGAGACTAGTTTCCGATTTATGGAGCCTTCGGCCATGCGCCTTGTCTCGGGACCGCTTAACGTTCTCCGTTTGGCATGGTTTTTGAACCACACTTTGCTTCCTCTCCCTAGAGGGACACTGTGGTCCGGGAGACCACTTTTGTGATCATACGCCACTTTTGATGCTCGACAGCTGGTTTTCGGAGCTCTCGGCCGCGCGTCTTGCCTCCTGAACCCTCGTCTTGCATCCGTTCTGGTTTGTCTTGGGTACAAACCTTACTTTCCTTGTTTGGGAAATGGTACAAGGGTGGGAGACCAGCTTTTTCCTTGGAGACCACTTTTCTCCCCCCCAGCCGGTTTTCTAGTCGGGAAACTGGTTTTGTTGGTCTTTGGGCCACATTTTCTAGTTTCCTATCCCACCATTGGCGTGCTTTTAGTATGGAGACCACAATTTCCCCTGGCTGACCACTTTTTGCCTGGGAAACCACTTTAGGTGGTCGGCCGACCACTAAAAGTAGCAAGCCGACCATCTTTTCTGGTCGGTAGCTTTCCCCATATTTTGTTAGACTGAATGGATGCCAGCTGTGCCAGTTGGAGGGCACAGACTGTATCCTCCATACACATGTATGGAGGGACTGCATCCAAGTTTTAGCTTCTCTAAGAAGCTTGAACCTTTATTTTTCTGTAAGAGAGGGTCTCCCTCTCTATTCCACAGGTTCAGAAAATTTCCTAAGGCACAAGCATATATCTCCCTCTATATCTCTATATTTGAGGCCTAAAAAGTGTGTTGTTCCTCACTTTTGCACCACACCTCTTCACCACACACCCCCATCATTGAGCTGAGGTTCTTGGAGGACATATTTGGGGGTTAAAAGGCTGGGTTTTGGCTGAGAATGAAGCTATTGTTGTAGTGATTCAAGGGTAACCTCTTTTCTTCCTTTTAAGCTTTGTTTTGGTTGCTCTCTTGGTCCAATTTTCATGCTTATTTGGGCTTAGCTTCCAACTGAAAAAATTCTTGTTTTAAGGTGCTTGTGATGTTTGTTTAAGGCCTCTTGGGTGTTGAGGGTCTTCTACCCTCTTGCATGCTTTGTTTAGCCTTGTTTTGTGCCATGCCTTAAGGCCTTTGAGCTAATCCTTGCTTGGCCTTTTAGCCACTGAAATCCAGTGGATTTTTAGTGGTTGGCATGTGGTTTTGAGGTCCTAAATCAGAGAGGGGTGACCCGCTCTCTTTTTATCTTGTTTACTTGCATTTTGGCCTATCAAATGAGCATACATTTTCATACTTTCAAGGCTTGGTTCAAGCACTTTTTGGTGACTTTTAGGGCCTGGCTAGACTCTGTCCATGGTTGGTTTGGTCACCCTTGGCATGCTTCTCATATGTGTAGTGTATTCCCATTTATGGCTCATCAAGGTAGCATGTCAATCTAGCATGTTTTAGCTCCATTTCAGTGGATTTTTGGTCATCATTTGACATATCTTGGCTCTATTTTTGGTTGGTTTAGCAGCCTCTCACATGCTCCATGTGTTTGTAGTGTAAATCTTGTTTACTAGCTTAGAATGCATGATGTTTTGGCTTACCATTCTAGCATATTTTGGCCATGCTCCAACAGGATTTTGTTCATATTTTGGGCTGTCTTAGCTCTATTTTGAGGCCTCTTGGTTAAATGATGCTTGCCATGCATGCTTGTAGTGTAATATGCTTCACTAGC